TAAGATGGATGGATAGATATAGATCATTCAAAATTTCATTTAAATATCTAATAAACTACAACAAAAATTAGATTGCGCAAATGCAAGTTGGGTTGCGCATGCGCAATTTTTTTATATTCATCTGCATAGTTGCTTATTGAGATTTAAAACACAGAAAACTAGATATTCATGTTCTTTGTAACAAGAATGATAAAAGAAACCCTTATGGAGTGTTGGGCAGTAACTTTTTAGCCCGTTGGTCTACGTAGCTGAAAAACAACAGCGACCTTTCTTACATCCTTAAGAACATGTTTACTAATTTTTAAAGCATTTCAGACATTTTAAACAACATCATCGTGCACACAGACAGACAATACAAAATTATAGGTAGACAATCTCGGGGATTGATAATAATTGAAATTTACAGTTAGTTTGGATAATAATTTGGTGGTCGTTTTTTTTTCTTAGGTCCCACCGAGAAGAATGCCCGAGTCCTCCACCAAATTGAAAGCCCACATTTTTCACATACCCAAAAGCAATACTGACAAGACCTCTTCATTAAAACTTTTTAACAAAAATAAATGTTCTGCTTAACACCTATATAAAAAAGATAACATGAAAATTAAATACTTTTATTAGCAACAATAATACATGTCTTATGATGCGTAAAATACACAAACAAGATTTGAGAAGTAACAATGGGCTATATATAGAAAAAATTAATGACCAATAAAATCAGTTTGGACAGTTGGAGCTACTCCCCATTTCTCTATTTGATAACACGTCCAGCAAGCAGCCTTCCTTTTTTGCAATTTCTTCAATCTCCTTAAAATGATCAGGTTCCACAAGCACCACATATGTGTGCGAATAATCGGTTTTAACTTCATTCTCCACTCTTAACGACTTTACTTTACCAAAGCTCTCTGTAAACTTCTCGCCGTCTTTATTCACAAATGATATGCTTAGCTTAATTTGAGCACGCTCGATCGGCATGAACCCTTTTAACAACTTGATTACAGCCAACGCCTGCTGTTTAATATTGTGATGCGGCTTAACGGAGTAGTGAGAGTCTCTCATTGCAGCTTCAATGATCGCCGGCGGATAAGGACAATCGGCCGTCGGATTAACGCACATTGTCGATACTTCGTAAGCTATTTGTTTAAATTGCGATTCGAACATGCTTTCTCGCTCTTTATCGGACACTTGTAGTTCGCCTTTCGTTAGAATTTCCTTGCATATTTCCGTTTCGTCTTTATCGCCGAATGCTTTCACCACGTCTTCTTTTTTAGCAAACTGGCCTTTGGATACATTGGCGAAGATGGTATGCGTTTGTAATACCTCGTCTATATCGGTTTCGCTGCATGGGGGTGGAAGTTATAGGGGTGAAATCTAAGGGAGGAATACTTACAGATTATTGCGCCATGCCATTACTTTGTTACGATAGCAGGCGATTTCAAACCTCTTGCCTGTCTTTTTTAATCGCACTACGGCTACGTTTGTTAGCCGAAGTTGATTTGTTGGAGTAAATATCTTTGGCATTGTGCGATTTTTCTAAAGTTGCCCGAAAGAGAGTGAAAAAAGAGGTTAGGTAATACTGAAACTGTCATTTTGGACAAGTGACCTACCGTAAGTCGTAAGCTTATATACAGTGTGACCAAGAAGTTGATGATGATTATTCAAAGACGAAACGTCGCAATGAAAATTTGTGAACACCATCTTGTAGAGCTCAAAAAGTGCATATGAGGAAGTGTTATTAGTTCTTCGATATGTGTGTGACAGAAAAAGTAAAAACGAATATGGTTAATTCGTGGACTACAACGATAGTCCGAAATTCTAGGTTTTAGAGTGTTTTCGGTAATGTTTAAAAGGTTCTGCAAAGCTATATGCTATTGCTCATCAAAGGTATCACTCACAGGATCTGCATTTGGAGAGTCATTTTTTTAAAATAGGAATTCTATAATGAATGCGTATTTCCAACAGTGAAAAAAAATAGTGAACCCCCAAAACTATGGAAACAACATTTTTATTTATCAAAAAAATGGTTGCTATGATACAAGATACAATATGTAACAAGACTTAATTAGGTTGACGTTGACCTTTCTCTGAGAGTGTGAGTTGCGTATGATAGTATTATAGACATTGTATTAGAATTATCAATTTAATTATTTAATCAGAAACAACTTTCTCTCGCTTTGCAAACAAAGAATATTGTTCTGTTGAGTGGAGGCCATGACACAGTAGTTCATATGTATTCCCACCAAAATCAGACCTACTTTAGTAAGCATTAATTTTTATGATCAAAAGTCGCATATCAGCTGAAACCGAAAAATTTAATTACTTTTAATTTTATTATTTAACTTTTGCGATGGACGTGAAAGATGCAGCAGCGGACGGTGAGGAAAGTAAAGTTAAAAGTGAGGACCGACCTAAGGTTAGTGTTCTTTACCGAAATCACAACCACACATAATTAACACTTTACAGAAAAAGGCTAAGAGAAGGAGCTCACCTGGACACACGTCAGAGGAGCCGAAACTGAAGAGATCCAAGTCGGATGCAAACAAACCATCCAGCTCGAAACACGAAATTATACATTACAACCCGTCATGGGAAGATTACGAGCTTTTAGTCGGTACACAGTCCATAAATGAGAATGTTGCAAAAAGATTGACTAAATTATTTGACGATGAAAATACCATACCTTTCATTGCGCGTTACCGAAAAGACCAGACCGGTAACTTAACAGCGGAACAATTACGTGATATCAAGGACGAATATGACAACATAAAGCTACTAAAAATGAAAATCCGTACAACGCTTAATAACATTAACAAACAAGGCCAGTTAGATTCGAAGCTGAGAAAAATTATCTTGGGAGTGCAAAGTGTGGAAGAACTCGAGCTTATTGTGAGTTTATTAGTACTTTTAATAAACCTAACCGCACTGTTTCAGTATGCCCCGTTTCGTCCCGGTGCTAAGAGGACTTTAGCAGAACGAGCGAAATCTTTGGGGTTAGAACCACCGGCATTGAGTTTATTAGAAGGCGCCGAATCAGTTAATTTGGAACGTTACATCAATAAACACAATAGGGAACTGTCATCTATCGGCGATGTTGAAAGGGGTGTAATGCATATTATTGCCTCTGTGATTGCCACCGATACCGAAGTTTTGGCATTACTTCGCAAATTGTAAGTACGCCTTTCTTAGGGGATGTCGGCTGATAAATTATTTGTTTGTAGGCGAATCGAGTCTTTTTTCACAATTGAGTGTAAAAAGGCGAACAACACAAGAAGAGACGACAGGATACGAAATTACAAAACCACAAGACAAATTGTCGAAGAGTCGAAGTTCGCTAATTATTTCACTTTTAGCGCATCATCAAAGTTTATAAAGCCGCATCAAGTAAGTCCATTGCGAGGGGGCAACAACTCGCATAACCTGTTCTCGATAATTAAAATAAAATGTGAGGTTCCTTCCTAATTATCTCCTTGAAAAATTCATCAAATTAAAAAAAATCAAAAATCTGGCATTGCACACTGTGATCCATTTTATCAAATCTCTTACTGTTGACCAGATATCCATGCTTGAAACATTCCTTTAATACACTATTCAAAATATGCTTTAAAAACAGCATTTACCTTTGCATTCCCAGCTACCCCACTGTTATAATTATAATATGCAACCCGTGACACATCACTTTAAAGACAGAATATGGCCTATACCCAGAATAGAAACAGCAGTGCTGTAAAAATGTGCTAAAAAATATTATCGCCTCTAATAGAACAAAGTTTACAACATTTCGGAGATTATTCAAGTATAAATGCGGGTGTATTAAGCAGATATAAATTATATACCTACAATTAAGGCAAAATACACAAGTAATACTAGGTATAGATACAATAGGAAGTCATTGTGTACGATGAACTCGTTATTCATGTAAGGAGCCAGTAGATGGGTCGTGCCAAACTGCTCTTTTGAACAATCCTGGGATGCCTTAGTAGGTAAAATTGTAAAGGTGGTTTATTTGATAGTCTAAAATAGACCGTCATTTATCTTATATTTTCATTATCTTGTTTTTTTTTCCTTTTTGTTTATTTGTGTTTTATGAAACTTTAATTGCCGCAGTTGCAGTTTCAGTGTACACAATTGGCGCTAATTAAAAACAAATAACAATCGGGATCGCCAAAACCTAAATAATTAAATTTTTGTTTTATGGGGAACGACATATGGACACACTGTGTACAGGGTGGCCCAAATTCGTGGCACAGGGTCGCGAAAACCCCCAGTCTGTATTTTTAAAAACAGCGGAGATACACTGCAGTCTCAAACAAAATAGGACACACTGTACAACCGTCGCGAAACCAGCAGCCCTGTTTTCTTTTCCTGTCTTTAAGGAAACACCACTTCCACCAGAAAAAAAAATAAAAATGTTTTTATGAGCTATTCTTGAAGCAGAGCAATTATTAATAAGATTAATGTTTGCAATGCATGTATCTTTCTTTTTGAAGATTTGTTGCCCCCCTCTGTCATTCAATGAGATGAAGGATACATCGCAATTTTAGGTTTTAGCTATCAATAGAGGTGAAGCACATAGAATTTTAAGTGTTAAGATAAATGTACCAGATTTTATATACAACAAATTCTCACAATTCGCTACAACCAAATGGATCGATAAAGGTAAAAGTGACAAGGATCGCAAGAGAATCTTGGAAATGGCGGTGAGCGATGCGTACAAACGTTTGCGTAAGTACCTACAAACAACGACTTAAATCGTTTAATACGACACGCTCTTCTTTCACCAGTACAACCTCACGTTGTAAGAGAAGTACGTGCGAGCTTAAAAGTAAAGGCGGAAAAAGCATCATGCGAAGTATTTAGTACAAATTTAAAACAATTACTTTTAATGCCTCCTGTTAAAGGAAAGTATATATTGGGCATGGATCCTGGCTTCTCAAATGGCTGTCAATTGGCGATGATTTCGGAAACCGGCGCCCTTTTAACCACCGGCAACATCTTTCTCAATACAAAGACGCCGGAAAAGCCGATTATCATCTTGGCGCAGATGTTAAGAACTTATAAGTACTGTAGATTGTAATCGATACCGTTTTGTAAGACTGTTTTTGCAGTTGCACTTTAATTGCGTTGGGCAATGGTACAGCGTGTAGGGAGACCGAGACGTGGCTGTCTGAGCTAATACAAAATAACACATTCTCGCCTTTGGACGTCGTTTACACAATTGTAAATGAAGATGGAGCCTCGATCTATTCATGCAGTTCAGAGGCAAGAAAGGAGTTTCCTGATCTTGATCCAAAATATATCAGCGCAGGTAATATGAAATTATACTTGGTTTAATTGACAGTCCACATTCTGAAATAGTTTCCCTGGCAAGACGAGTATTGGATCCTTTGGCCGAGTTGGTAAAAGTGGAGCCTAAACATTTGGGTGTCGGTATGTATCAGCATGATTTACCAAAGAGGCAATTGGAAGAGGCATTGGACGAAGTTGTCACGGAGTGTGTAAGTTTTGTTGGTGTCGATCTTAATACAGCTTCGCGATGTTTGTTGAGGTAAGAGAAATGCGAATGTGAAACACATACTTGACCATCACTTTTAGGCACATTGCTGGATTGTCAGATAAGAGAGCATCTCGCATCATTCAGTATCGCGAAGATCATGGTCTGTATAAATCACGAATGGAACTCAAAAAGGTGAAAGGGATTGGTAGCAAGATTTTTGAGCAATGTGCTGGTTTTCTTCGTGTCGAACCTGCAAATTCCACGGTTGCAGCGGAGTTTTATGAAGACAGTGAGACAAACAGATTGGATTGCACTTACATTCACCCTGAATCGTATGGTGTGGCGACGGAAATTCTGAAACATTTCAACTTGGATATTGCTTCTATCGGACAAAGGCATTTCTTTGATTATATTAAGTTGAAGTTTGAGACCTTAGATATGGATCAATTCAGTGCGTCTTTATCCCAATCAGTCGAGACCGTTCGTATGATTATGGATTCCTTGATTCAGCCTTTAAATTACGATTTACGAGATGAAAGTGTCAGTGGACCCGTATTTAAGAAGGGACTTACTAACTTTCAGGATCTAAAGATTAATTCCATTGTTTCCGGTAATGTGTCCAACGTTACACATTTCGGCTGTTTCGTCGACATCGGCGTGGGCACTCCTGCTTTAATACATTCAACTAAAACGTGTGGTTTTACGTTACAAATAGGGGACAAGGTTGAGGCCAAAGTTATTAGTTTGGATGAAGGTAACAGAAGAATTGGTTTATTAATGATTCGCAAAATTTAAATACAGAATTAAATTATAGTGTGATGTAATAAATTTTTACACCTTTGATTGTCTTTTTTAACCCGTTGTTACCCCAAAAGAGACAATTAAATTTTTTTAAGTGGGTAGAATATTTCTTAGTTTTAGCAATACATTAAGTAGCAGTTCATACAGCTCTGGTCTGGTGTGTATTCGAAAAATGCCCAGTGCACATCAATAACTAAACACGGTTCGTAAAACTAGGTACCCACTTGCTCCCCCCAAATACCATGTTTTAAAACGGCAAAGATGTGTAACCTTATATCTTGCGAACTTATTTATTTATTTTACTCACTGAACTAAAATTAACCTGGAACGCACGATCCGAGAGAGAGAGGGCCACAAGGGGGATCTCTGGCCTACTCTCGCGCATGCCTATTTGATATGTTTTGAATTTATACAGTGTGAGCAACAATGATTGAAGCGTGCGTCATCACCGCTTGTTCCTATTAATATCAAAACTACCTTCTTTGTATGGAGTTGTATACGAAAATGACGTTCTGCGCTGTCACAGTGACGTGCGTCTATTCGTATCTTGTATCAAATCAGCATATGCTATGAGCGGCACATTGCCAATTTAGCTGAAGCGGCACGCTTCAATCTTTGTTGCTCACTCTGTATTAATGATCAGTTTCCCAATGAGTGACAGTGACAGAAATCCCCTTGCACTATCTCTCTCGGCGCGCAACGTTTCTATGGCAGTATGCGTTCCAGTTTAATTATAGTTCAGTGATTTTACTGATTAAGGCGGCTCTGCAGTGAATTAAGATTTCGATTTTGCGCCGAGATAGAAAAATTTGTAGGCAACTAACAATACAAATTATTGATGTTTCTAATGTGGATTCTAAAACGCTCTAGGCTATATGTGCTATTCATTCACAAACAAAGCAATTAGTACCTAAGAGAATGAATTGAAATACTTACCTCTTTTCTTTCTTTTGTAATTTGTTGAGCTGGATTTATTTTGAAACGACTATATTAGTCATAGACAAATACCATTACCGTTATCTAGAAGTATTCAGGCTTTCATTAATCATTTAAATCTGAAAATTTACTTGCCAACATCGTTTTTTATGATCCGTCGAAAGAAAATATTATTATGATTCTACTATTATGGTTCTACCGGATGGCTATAGCAACTTTCTTATTTTAAATAGAACACCCTGTGTTTTATTACATTTTCGGAATCTACATGAAAATCTACGTCGTTTGATACCACATTTCCCTATACCCAGCATCAAAGGTTTTCAAGTAATTCAAGATTTTTCAAAATTCAAAAATTGACAGTACTGACTTGATTCTACGTGACAATGATTTAAATTTTGATCGCCCTTTTACAGGGTGTTTTAAAACTGATGGTCAACTTTATTAATACATGCATGATACATGCTTTATTTTTTTGCACTTTCAAATGTGGAAAAAAATTCTACAGCAATCTACTATTTCGTTCCGTTTACCTATCTGTTATATGCTTTCCGTTTTATTTTAGATTTTCTAAAATTGTGACCCTTATGCATAATTTTTTTAGAAAGCGTTGAAATAACGTTAGAAGACTAAACTTGTCAGACCTTTTTATAGTTATAGTTGATAGTGATGGTAGAATGAACAAAAAGTTAAATAAAGAAGACATAATAAACAGAAACAGGTAATAATAACAAACGACAATATAAAAAAAAGCAACATCAATTGAGGGTTTGTTCTACGTGACCACCGTTTTTTTCAATACATAATAGGATCTTCCGATTAATTCCGTTGGGAATCGTCTCTCTAATGTCTACTACATCCATTTCATCAAAAGCTCTTCTCTGCCTAACTTCCAGTTCTTCACGAAAAGCAACTGGTGTGAAGTAAATGTTGTCTTTATATGACCCCACACAAAAAACCCCAATGGCGTTATATCTGATAAGTTCTAGGAGGCCAACGCCACGGACCTCTGGCTTCTATCTTCAAAAATGTTAGTGAAAGATATATAAGGATCATGGATAGAATGAGCCCGCGCTTCGTCATGTTGAAACCAGTTGTTTTCTTCATGTAAATTCTCAAATGCTGGGAAAATAACATCTACTAACGCATTTATTTCAAGGCCTCCTAAGAAAATTATGCATAACGGTCACAATTTTAGAAAATCTAATAAAACGGAAAGCATAACAGAATTATATGTATAGGGAATGTAATACTAGATCAATGTAGAATTTTTTTGACATTTGAAAGTGCAAAAAAATACCTAAAGCATGATTCGTTTGAAAAAATCAACTTTTTAAGGTTTGAAGTTAAATAAAGTTGACCACTAGTTTTAAAACACCCTGTAGAAGGGCGAACAAAATTTAAATCATTGTTACGCAGGATCAAGTGAGTACTGCCGATTTTGGAATACTTTTTGAAATTGAAGCCAACGGAGTCATATATACAGGACTGAAAATAAGGAACAGCCATACATAAAAAATGTTCAAAATCTTGAATAACTTGAAAACCTTTGATGCTGCATATAGGGAAATTGGTATCAAATTTTCATGTAGATTTCGAAAATACAGGGTGGTCTATTTAAAATAAGAAGTTGCTATCGACATGCGATAGAACCAGAAGTGAAACGATCATTCTTTCGACAGGTCAAGAATAACTATGTTGGTATGTTGTCAGATTTAATTGATCAATGAAAGCCTGAATACTTTTAGGTATCGGTTTGCGTGACACGGCCTGTAATACTTGATGTAAGTACGGAAGTAGGTATCCACAAGAATCTTACCATTACAAACTTCTAATCACTGAAACCAGTAAAGGAATACTATTTTCTAATTATAGGAAGGTGTTAATGACGCCGAACAAAGCCCAAGGAGGTGAATTCCATTGCAGATAACAATGAATAGCCTAATCTCTAAATCTATTGTTAGAAAAATGAATAGGATTAATTCGTAATTTTCAGGTAATGACAATTTCAATTTCGCCGGCGGGCGTATGGTGTAATTTAAGTTGCCTAACTGTGCTTTCAATTGGTGAAATACTTCATGATGTCATCAAAACATTTTCCCCAATTTTTGTTCTTAATTTAAGGGATGAAAAAGATATATCTATGTACAATCATACAATTTTGTTAGCTGGTTCTAAATCGCCAAAACCCATGTCTGTATGTTTTATAGAGGCGTCGTTATCTTAAAGACAAGCTTTATCAATTGTACTAGTTATTTCCAAAATTATGGTAAACTTCAAAATTTGGTTTACGCACAATCCTTCTGTTGGTTAATACCTACAATATATTTGACGTCGGCCCTTTTTTTAAATGCGGTTATAAAATCAAAATCTTAAAGAAATGATTCGCTGTTTTGCGGATAGTTCAACATTCACTGCAGAGCCGCCTTTATGTATGGTGGTGGATTAGTAGATATACATTCCCTCTCAACCGCAGGAGATGCAGTAAATTGGGTATTCTTGAAATCAAGCGCATGACAATTGTTATTCTATGAGCATTACAATCCAGACCCTTGGAAGGTCCATTTGCACCTCCGTTGATCCGCCCATGGGTAGCAATAAATAAATCCCTACACCCCAACTTTGAATGCTCTCATTGTCTTAGCCCGGAAAAACGAGTAGTTACCCCATCCCTTATTCGTTCTCACGTAAAATACAGAGAGAACCTCCTTGAAAAGTGTTGCCTCCAATCAGGCATTTCTCTAAAGTCTAAGGCGACTAAATAGCCTAGGTCCTATTTTTCATGTCTTTAAAAAGACCATATGCGTCAAAGTTTAAAGCCAATTATTATCACCAACTGTTAAAGACCACCACAAACGGTCTTGTAACAAGGGATTCTTTTTTATTGCACGCAATGAGGTGTTAAAGTGTAGGTAGGTACCTTTTTTATATCTTTAGGCCTTCTATGTCAAAATTATGTGGCTGTTACATGTGATGTATAGATAGTAAAAATAAAACAGAAAGACAACTTACAAGGAAAATTAATTACATATTAACGATAATAATTTAAATATAAATAAACAAAAAAGATACTTAGGGGAAAACGTTTGAATGGAGCGGAAACTTTTCGCGCGTTTTATTGTGTATGTTTTAGGGAATTTTTGCGGGGGTTGGCAAGATGAAGTTGAAGTTCCCGCTATTTTTATTTTGGTTAAGTTGTTTTTGTTGGGAACTTAGACGATCGTTCAAAGAGCATTTCCTGAAAAGCCTTTGAAACGAGAAAAAGAAGAGTGTAATTAGTGAAAAGTGGGTAGTTCTGCATAATTGGATGGTACAATGGATAAGGATAACGTAAACAAAATCCGTTTGGCGGTGTCTAGCCTGCAGGAACCATCGTTGGGAGACTCGGAAAAATTGAAGAAGTTTAACGTTATAAGGGAGTGTTTATATTCTTGCAAACTGCAAGGGAGTGTCGATGATAAAATACTGACACGGCAAGTCTTTACTTTGTGTAATTCCGAGCTGGATACCTCCAATTCTGAGCTGCTAGTAAGCGTCTTTACCCTATTGGAGCTGCTCTTTAATTGTAATTCTGAGAACTATGTCGGCAAAGTTGTCCCACATTCGTACCTGGCAGTAGCTTTTGAGTCCAATCACAAATATTCCGGCACAGTAAAAGAGTGCGCGTTAAGTTGCATTCAGACGTGTCTTCATAGGTTAGTAGTCACGAATTGCTACGACTTGACACAATTAGATAGCAGCGTAAACGACATGGAAGTCGGTAGTAAGGTGAGTAACACACTAATTGTCCTTTGATATTCAGTTTTGACTGTTTGTAGATGTTCGATCTTCTGCTATGTGTAATGACTGATGTACCAGCCAACAATTGTTTGCAGTTTTTCTACGATACTCTCATGTCTACCATGTTTGAGACTGAGAACGTGCAACTACGCTCTAAGTTAATAGATTTCGCAATGGAACTATTGCCTCGTTTTTCTATTCAGTTGCTCACTAGTTGTCAGCTGGAAGAGTTTAAGAACAAAGTGAAAAATTGGTACGTCACAATCGATAGGTGATTTTTAGCTTGCCTACGTGATTATTTTTCAGTTACATTAAAAGGATAGGCGTTATAAGAAACCAAAACGATCCCAGTTGGTCCAAACTTGTTAAGTTTCTTTTGAAGTGTTTTGGAAAAGTGATACATTCCTGTGTGGATCTGATGAATAATATACTTAAAATTGTTGAGGGTGCATTTCGCAGTCATAATTTAGATGATCGATATTATGCCTATGAGTGCTGGAAGGTAGGTTTAACCATGGTAGAAAGTCGTATTATTTATACTGTGGCATTAGCTCAGTTAGTTAAAGGTCTGTGCTAACTTTTGGCATGCTTTGTTAATTCACATCAAATACTTTCTTTGAAAAAGTCCCAAGGTAAGTCCAATAGTAGGTACTTACACAAGCTCTAGAAGTACTTACTCATTTTTTTTCTAAAATTGTATGGCCAATTCTGTGTCAACGTTTTCATCCACATTCTGCATAGCAGAACTATAGGTATACATGAATATCACATGCACATTGTCTGTGGAATTTTGTATATCCATAACAATAATGTGGAAAAGTATGTCAAAAATGTCCACTGTATGTGCCAGGGATATACGTTTGGCAGATTTCACATACCTATGTGTTTTAGATGTGTTATGTATATTCTCGTGTATTTTCATGTATATGTATCAGACATGCGTCATGACAAGTGGATATACCATGATAATAAAATTCCTATAATATGCAAAGATATTCAATAGGATATTCCATCGACTTTGTATACATTTAGAATGGATGTCCATAGAGATTCCTCTAATATTCGGGAAGCTTCCTAGCATTAATCTATACATAAATAAATTATTTTACTGTGTGAAGTTTATTAAGTCTCTGTATCTTAGTATATAATGGAAACAATAGGTATTTGTTTTCACAAAGTCTTTACATTTATTGGCAATGAAACACGACTGACGGCTAACAAAGTAAGCATGCTATTTACTATTAACAACAAGTATGTAATAACAATATTTAATAAATCCACAGATAAAGTTAAAAAAACAAATAAAAATCGCAAAGTTAGTAATTTGGTAAATTTTTAATGAAACGCCGTGTATATTTTTGAAAAATTGAATACACATTTTCTTTTTGATTGCAAAAAAATATAATAAGTTGAAATTCGCTTTAGTCAACCGGCATCTCTTCAAAGGATTGAAAATGTGCACAGTGTGATTATACAAGGAACTTTACCAGACGCATCTTTACTATTCATATTCTATTAATTGCACCATTATTTAAATAAAGTATTTAAACAATGATTGCACTTATCGCCACGGACCCAGTTGGCTCCTCTTACAGGTTCTAAATTAGTCATCGGCGCATAGCCCGCTGTATCCTTCTGACATGCTGGTACCAGTATAAGTAAAGTTACTTAGCTATACTTACCTAGGCATATGTTAACTCACAATACTTTCAAATGCTTAAAATGTGCACAGTGTGAATTTCTTTATTGTCTATAACTTTTTATTGAGAGGTCTGATCGAAAAGTACGAATTGTTTTGGATTCTACGCACCAAAATTAATAAGAAAAACTGTTTTCCCGAGAAATTTTGGTGCAGTCGATTTTTGGTAAAAAAGGAAGGTTATACACTGCCTTTTTTTGAGGTCCGAAAAAAAAATTGTCTCAGATCGACCCGGAAAAAATTTTTCTTATAGAATGTGGCCTGTAGAATCCATAATTTCAAACAGTTCCAAGATTGGACTACTAGTTCAAATTTGAATACTTTAAAGGAGTTGAATACTAAAAAGTATTTACAAAATCGAATACTGCCCAGCTCTGTTAGTTATACAGTTATTACTTCCCATTACTTCTGAGCATATGCCAGAAACATTTAACAGTTCCAAAAAGTTGATATGTTGTTTTCTATTGGAACCTTACCAACGCCCTCCAGTTTTTCCGCATTACAGCATGCATCAGTATAGATGGTAGTTTTGTAGGAATCTACAAGTGCAAATTTGGATAATTTTTAATAGAACACCCTGTATATTTTACAAAAATGGAATACATCTTTACAAAAATATATGAAATGTAGACATTTGCTTCTATTTGCATTTATAGTAGGTATATTATCAAATTGGTTTACCAAATGGCAGTTGCGATAAAAAAATAAATGAGCATCATTATTTATTCTTAATTAATATATAATTTTTACCCTGAAAATAACCTACACCACCTTTACTTTTTAATATTTTTTTTTTCAATAAACAAAATGTAAGCAAAATTTACAAATGTTGAATCTTGCTTCTAATACATTTTCTGTAGTCTTTATAATATTATACACTGTGTCCAAGATAAAGATGTCTACCTTGGGGATCTCCGAAACCATAGAAGATACAACGATTAGAGAAAGATTGCGTAATTAAACAGAAAACCAGAAAATTCCGATTACTTCCGAAGATATACCAGAAAAACCGATATCTGCCGATTCCGTTTTTATTTTTTTCTGGTGTTATTTGAACAGATACAATTAAATAAAAATAATTTACCGTTAAGAAATTTGCAATATGTTCTTTTCTGAGAAATCATCATCAAGTTTTATATAGCCCCGTATAAAAAGTACAGACTGTATTGAGTAAGTAACAGACAGGCGGACAGTGTTCACAATAGCAGCTTTTCCCTTTCTGAAAATGCCCGAAAATCAGACCTAGCTGTTAGTTTTAATGTAATTGTTGGCTGGTCCATTGGTATTAAACAAATTCTTTTAGGAATTAATCGACAACTACAGCCTGGACATGGATCGTCTACGCGCTCCCAAGCAGATGAACTTGCTAATTACCCCTTTGAAGTCAAATGTGTCCACTTCAAATCCTCGAATATCGCATAAACGCCTCGAAATTTGGGCGCATCTACTTGGCACATTACAACAAGGTGCGCTTCCGTATTTAAAAACGTTCTTTTCTGCTTGTTACTCTGAGGACAAAAAGTCGTGCAGCGAAAAATCACAGCAAGAGCCAAAATTTCATGAAGACGCAACGCTTGTGCTTTTAGAAGTTATTGGTGAGTCCCAACGAAATGCTGGTCTCAAATCTGTCTCACTGTTCCAATTAGGTCACTATGGTCACACTGAGGAAAGCGGATGCTATAATTATGAGAAGATTCTTAAGCTAAACGAGCCATTGGTTAAAGCTGAAAACTTTAAGGAATTTGAAAGTTTGATATTATCTGCTCTGCGCCAGTGCTCTCCCGTGAACTCACAATGGATGCCTACTTCTGACCTATTTCAGGTAATTTTTAGAACATCCACAGTTTCCTATGTAAAACTAAATTTTCAGGTCCAAAAATGTATGTGGGGCTCTTTCTTTAATTTACTTCGGGGTTGCGAGGCAGCACAACAAAAGCAAACGATACAGATTATAGTTGCAGATTTGATATTCCACATTAAGGTACTTTCCCTAGTGATTTTTCGTTTCACAATTTTTTCATTAGCTTATCCATGCGACCAACAAGTATTTACTTTACGCCGTAAAACCAATCTTGGAAGTGCTAGCCGAGGGAAAATTTTTTGATGTTAACTTTTTTAACGATTTAATCTTCTTGCCACTATTCAAGTTGCTCTTGAAGTACAGTGAAGAACTATTTTTACTGTAAGTGCGAAAGTGTTGCCGTAATTTATTATTAATGTCTACTGTTTACAGTGATCGACCGCTTATCACTGATCTGTGTAATTATAGTAAAGATGGTAAGCCGCAAGATGTGTGGTTTATGGAAATGTACAAAATACTAACGAAAGGCGAAGCTACCAGTGTGTTTCTCAATTCTTTAATATTATGGTTGGAATGCGTAGACAACGTACTTTCTTTGTGCCATAACGGTGGGGAGAAAAATAGCAAGATGCTACAAAATAAAATTGTAGAGTTTATGATGTGGCCTATTGCAGATCTTCAAGAGATTCGTTATTATAGTCATCAACCTAACATTTATAATGTAAGTATACTGGTAATTAAATCGTTACATTGTTCTTTGTGAGCTGAATTATTTCAGTATTTATTTTATACTTTGCCAGTGTTGTTGAGTTGACAGGGTTTCAGCTGAGGCGCGAGGTTGCTTTTCCAACCTCACCTACTATCTATCAAAGCTCCCATCTCCGAACCGGAGACCCTTTTGAGCATAGCCGGCCCCTATTTCTCTAGACAAAGTCATATAGCCTGCAAATACATGCTGAGTTCTAGATGATAGCGTTGGGCAAAAAAATCGATTAATCGATTATAATCAAACGATAATCGATAATCGGGTTTGATTATTCTATTAAATTAATCGATTATTTGATTAATCGATTAGTTGATTAATCGATTATTTGATTAATCGGTTATTTGATTAATCGATTGTTCGATTAATCAATTATTAAGTAAATTTTAATTGATTATTATTAGCTGGATCATCAGTTTACCCAAAAAGGAGCACTCACAGCTCACAAGTATTATTTTATTTTATAGCGGATGTTAAAACGTCACTTTAAGCAGCTAAAATGAATTAAGATTGTATCATCAAAACTAATAAGCACACCTCATCGGAGAGTAAGCTGCCTAATCATTTATTTTTATTTATTTATTTTTATTTTTGAACTTCATTTTCAAATGGGCAGGGTTTCAGCCAAGGCTGTTCTACCAACCAACCCACTATGCATTTGCAAATATCCATGCCCGAACCCGGATTCGAACCAGGGACACTTTGTTGATTATTGATTAATCGATTTGCCTAGTAGTGAACGATTTGATGATAAGAGTAATGGAATTATTTTTTATTTTTATTATTAAATAATTAACGTATTAATGCATACAAACAGATATTTATCACTCCTTGTATGTGACAATCGACTTTTGATTAAACGATTAGGTGATTAATCGATTATTTGATTAATCGATGATTTGATTAAACGATTATTTGATTAATCGATTATTTGGTTAATCGATTAATCAGTGTAATCGATTATTTTTCATAATCGATTATCGATTATTCATACCCGTAATCGCCCAGCCCTAATAGCGTTGGGCAAAAAATCTATTAATCGATTATAATCAAACGATAATCGATAATCGGGTTTGATTATTCTATTAAATTAATCGATTAATCGATTATTTGATTAATCGATTATTTGATTCATCGATTATTTGATTAATCGGTTATTTGATTAATCGATTGTTTGATTAATCGATTATTTGATTAATCGGTTATTTGATTAATCGATTGTTTGATTAATCAATTAACGTCACTTTAAGCAGCTAAAATGAATTAAGATTGTATCATCAAAACTAAAGCACACCTCATCGGAGAGTAAGCTGCCTAATCATTTATTTTTATTTATTTATTTTTATTTTTGACCTTCATTTTCAAATGGGCAGGGTTTCAGTCAAGGCTGTTCTACCAACCAACCAACCCACTATGCATTTGCAAATATCCATGCCCGAACCCGGATTCGAACCAGGGACACTTTGTTGATTATTGATTAATCGATCTGCCTAGTAATGAACGATTTGATGAGTAATGGAATTATTTTTTATTTTTATTATTAAATAATTAACGTATTAATGCATACAAACAGATATTTATCACTCCTTGTATGTGACAATCGACTTTTGATTAAACGATTAGGTGATTAATCGATTATTTGATTAATGATTTGATTAATCGATTATTTGATTAAACGATTATTTGATTAATCGATTATTTGATTAATCGATTATTTGATTAATCGATTATTTGATTAATCGATTAATCAGTGTAATCGATTATTTTTCATAATCGATTATCGATTATTCAAAGCCGTAATCGCCCACCCCTAGTCCTGCAAACGGATGAACAGTTTAGGGACGTACGTCTAACCCCACAAAGTTTAGTCGCAATCGGATAAACGGTTTAGGCAGCTGGCAGTGGCATCATAAGAGACAGGACGAATACAATTTTATTTACTTACCTACATAAAAACCTTGAAATATGACCAATCATTACCCAAAGTTTCGTATCAATTGGATGAACGGTTTAGGCAAGCATAAGGGACATTCATACGTACAGACAGACGGAATTTCTTTTATTATATAGAAACCTTCCCGGGCATACCTCCAACTATTCCCCAAAGTTTCATCGCAATCGGATGAACGGTTTAGGCAGGCATAAGAGACATACAAACATACAAACATTCATTTTTATTTATATAGATAGATATAGATAGATAGATGAACAAACTGAGTTGAGTTCTTTTCGAATTTCTTTTCCTGGAAAAAGTAGCTCCTGTCGACTGTGGACACTGTGCTTCTTTTGCCGAAACAACTTTTTATTTGAGTTGCTAGTTGCTACTTATTATGGCCTTTATAGTAATGCTAATGACTCGTTTTACGACAAAATATCTTCATCCGCCCCTCCTTGTGCCCCTCGAGGTGCCCCTGTTCGGCCAATGTTTACTGCTGGTAATAAACGTTGATCGAATTTATTTAAATTTATTGGACTCACCACACCACACAATATCTTGGACATGCATAAAAGGAAACTGGAGAATTTCAGATAGGCATTACTTTTTTGTTACTAATTTTTCTTCTTGCCCTTTTTGTAATAATCGGGGAGGGTTACGTTACATCATCTGCACGCATAGCTCCCAAAGTTTGTAACACTTTTGAATATAATTCAGAGAAAAGTTATCTCGAAAATTACGTTGTGGAAGAGTTATCCTGAAAGTTTCTAACCACTCGAAGTACATAGGTGTTAACAGAATTCTGTTGTACCGAATTATAACAATGAATTACTCTTCGTCGTGCATTCTTTTCGGTGTTCGTTAATTTCAATTGTTTGTTACAGATTATTGCAACGCAATCGGCGAACTATAACTACAGATTTACATTCGCTCTTGGACAATCCGTCTCCAAACAATATAACCGTATATGGAATAAAGATAGAAACTGGCTCTAAAGAACCAGCTTACGATGAAAATGGAGTACCTGAATTACTAGTCAAAGCTTCGTATACTCTACGACTTTTTGGAAATAATTTTAATAAAAATATGTTAATTTCCCTTACGGAAAATAAGGGAGACGCGGGAAGCACATGTCTTATGTCGATGGATATGATTCATACGGTAAGTTAACTATAGCTTTAGTGGTCAGCAATAAAAATAGAGGTACTAGGGTAGTTCTAGCACGAATATTGAGCTTTAACGTGACGTAGTTTTTGCGCAATCGAAGTGTTGCTTATTGATTAATTTACCGTTTCTCGGAATTTGCAGACTGTTTCCTAATGACTCAATCTTATATTCAAGATGCAAGGATATGGCGTATTCGCACGATTTTGGGACTGTTTAGCTCGGTGTTTGTACACAACCAAAAGCAAGCTTCGCAATGGTATCTAGATAGAATTGATAGAATAGAAATTAAGTATGCAATTGCTGTATGACGTCTGTACTTCCGGGCGATGTGTTAAATTATCGGTTTATTTTTAATCGCTATGACGGTGACCTCAAAACGCCAATCTGGCGATTAGCCAACATGCTTTTTATTGGAATTTGTTTGGAAGGAATTTGTTTATTAAATTTTCCGTACCATACCTACGTTTTAATATTGGAGAAGTTCGGAGTAGTATTAGGTGGGAAAATAACGCAAAAATCGTTTGGGGTTACTATCATTGTCAAACTTTAGCCCCATTTCGAATATGATAAACTGATCAAGTACATTATTTAAAAGCTGTGAAGAGGGTCGGTGGAGGGGTCTAAAAGGTGGTTTTTCTAAGCATCTTTTGGTTATAAAGTCCATATTCAAAGGCCTCTATCAAACCCAATTTGAAGTCTCCTTGCCATTTGAATTTAGCCTTAGTATCTTTAAAAAATTGACAATCACTTACTGCCCGCTACACAGTGTACCCCAAAGTACAAAAAAATGATCAAAGTCCTCGTGTGAGATCGAAGGGACTTCAGCGCATTTTTGTGTGGCAGATCAGTGTTTTATTAGCCAATATTGACTCCACCATCAATAAGATCTTGCCGAAAGCTACCACGTTCACTTTGTCGGTACCATTTTCTCACTTACCGTGCACTCGCAATTCGCGTTTGAAGTTTTGACTCTACCATCAGTAAAATCCTTTGGGGGTTACCATATTCCCTATGTCGACACCCACTTCTGATCACCCTCAACAATTCGGATTTGAAGTTTCGACTCCACCATCAGTAAGATCTCGTCGGGGGTTACCACATTCCCTTTGTCGATACACAGTTTCGACGTCCCGTTCATTATTAATTCACATTTTGGTAGATTTCGCTAAAATCCCGGCATAAAATCGTATTCAACTTTTGGGTACTTCACATACCTCGACCTTCTATTAGTGACACGAGAAAGAGACCGCGATTCGCGCTGTTAGAAACTTTTGGGCGCCCAAAGTCGACTACCCCTCGAAGCGCGCCACGCAAAAGGTGGTTTATTTCGCCCCTAGGAAAAAAAACAAAATTTCGCCACGCAGGAGTTGTGCGCGTTGACAAGATCTTCCCGACGACACCAATTTGAAAACAATCGGAGAAAAACTGTAGAAGAAGATAGATAAAAACTGAAAAATCTCCAGGTTAGTATAATACGCTCGGGGATGGCGTCCAGATGTCGTCGACTCCAAATCTTGTAGCCCCATCCTAACGTTCTTAATTACACGGCCCCGATAGTTACATGTACACTCCTTGTCTTTTTACAAGCGTTTTTCTACGGGCGCGCATTTACTGCCAGCCAGCCAGCCGACCAGCCAAAGTGAGATTAAAAGCTACTTTTTACAAAAAAAATTTTTTGCAAAAATGCGCAAAAATTTTTTTGCAAAAATGCGCTAAAAATCATATCGTACGAATTCGTACCCTTAGAAAAAAGCGAGGAAAAAAGGTTTCACATTCTAACATTTATTAGGCTATTCGCATAGACAGTAAGTATCTTCAGAAAAGTGTCACTGTCCGCCCGACAGGGTGATATCTACCCCCAAAGTATGATACTTATTTATGTATTAAGGGTATAATAGTGATGTTTATATTCTCGAGGGCGACGAGTTAAAAAGCTAGATGCTAGAGGGCTGATAGGCCCGAGAGCTTTTTAATCGCCCCAGACTTACTAACATAGACATACTAAAATATTACGCATAATTTCAAGGATATCATTTAAAACATAAATGCGAATGCCACCCCACTATTCGTCACTAAAAATGACTTCAACATACTACAAAAACTAGATTTACAAAGAATTAATTGCATTGATTTTCACCTCGATTTTCACAAACAATTTTTAAATCACACTCGTCTTGCCGAGCGTCTTGCCCAAATTACGAGACTATAAATTTAGTGGGTTCATAAACAGACGTGAAAACATTTAAAAGCAATTACAAACGTAAATCGAAAATGAAACCCTATCTTTGCCTAATATTACCTAAATTAAATCTAACGGAATCAAATTTATTGGTAATCAAACAGAAAGACGACATTAAAAAAACAAATTCTTGTTGATGAATTCATACGTGATCTTGTTAATGGCGGGTTTTTATCTAATGATGGCCTAAATTAAATCAACAAAGACGAAGCTGATGAACATAAAATAATTACGTAAACTGAAATTATACGTGGTATTACAGAAATACCCGTACCCGATTCTCAAGGATATTACTGAGATAATTGTTTATTTAATATATGATTTTTAAATAAAATGACAATTTTCTTACTATTACATTTTATATAGAATCAAAATTGGAATATTTAAATATTTTAATGTTACATAATATGGTCCTATAGCCATATTTAACAGCTTCTGACATATTTCCATTTCACTGCATTGATACCATTTCTTTCGGATTTTCTTTTTAGTAGTCGGCCATAATTTCACGTAGAATCCAAAAATGCAACAAAAAGTAGGGATGGCCATTTAAAATAACGAAGTTACTAGCTACTTCCGGTATTTCCGGAAGTACCGCCATTTTGAAAATATTTTACATCCATTCGCCCTTCAGAGTAACTCCTAAGTACAAATTTTTAAAAACCTACCTATGTCACTTCCACAGAGACGTTTAACTAAAGCTCTCAAAAAACAGCCTGTATAGATCTGCAAATGTAAATGCATTTTTAGTAAAAAGGAGATCAACACGTAGTCAAGAAAGTAGTAATATCAAAACAGGTTTCCGCAAAAAACAACGGAACTATAATCGTTTAGTGAATATCGAGCAAATGTAATACCTAATTACAATTTGATTGTATCGAAAACCAGTATGAACTTTGGGTGACAACCTTGTGAACTCAAAAGGGCGCGTTCAGTCTAATCTGTAACAGACAACACTTGAGACAACAAAAATAAACAAATAAAAAAGGTAGTGAATCGCGCGACACATAAAATATTGTGTAAGCAGTTCTAACGTCTGACACTCGCCAATCGCGTAATTAATGCACAATAAGAATAAATAATTCGACTTACGTTAACTAACCAAAAGCACAATTTGTGTCGACTACGATTGTCTGATAAAATCTGTATAAAAGCATGAACGTGACGTTTAAATTCAAGAAGAATAATGGTTGTCGAAAATATTACACTAATTTTGTTTATTGAAACATGTTAGTCGCTATCGATTTCGGACTTTTTTCTCGTCCATCATCAGGCGATACGTCGGGATGGCTAACGAATCATGGAAAATGTAGTGAAGCATGCTTTATCTGAATATTATTTTGAAAATTATTTTGAAATCTGTATAATTTATGTGACGATTGATAGGCGTACAAGGTAAAGTGAGGTTTACTCACTCATCATACACAAAATTAGTGTAATATTTTCGACAACCATTAGACCACACACTAATTTAATATGGAGCCATGCATCAACAATATCAAGAAGAATGCTTTACGATGCACAAAAAACTGAATTTGTATATGACTCCAATGTAATCTAATTAAGTCAAAATGTAGATCAGGTAGTATGAATAATTTCTTATACTTCTACAAGAAATTCCAAAAACATTCCAACATTCTCGAGGAACAACTATGGCGTGTACGTTCTTCTGCAAGTAATGGTTGATTGTCGTTTTATACAAAGAAGTGCTTGCGCCGAAAAGAATTAGAGAGAGCTTTGCTCGACCTCGGACGGCAAAACAAAGAACTATTATAATAATAAATCTATAACACTTGGAACAAATTTCCTACTTATATCTAAACTAGTGTATTACGAGGTAAATACCTAGATGGCGTAAGAATTTAAATAAAAACACAAATTAAATTATTACTCTAGAACAGCAGAACAAGTGAAAGAAATATTTAGAATCTTGGCTGTTTCAAAAGAATAGCAATACTGGTCAAGATCTTCATTTTTTTTGGCTTCAACCGAAGTGCCTTTTCTGTTCTAATTTTTTTGTATAATAGTTTTTTTTACTATCATTTTTGATTTTAAAATGTACTATAAATGCTGCAGTGGAATAATTCGATAGATTTGTGTTCTCTTTAGCAACGTTTTCTTGGTGGTTTCTTTATTGGAGTATTTGTAACTTGTGCTAATTTTTTGTTGCGTCTGCATCCACATTTGCATCACTTTGTGCGTCTTATTAAATACACACACTGTTTCCATTTAATTAACAAGTTATAAATGACGCGATTATTCCACACTTGCAATTAATACAGAGTAGTTCAGTCATTGGTTCAGCCATAAAACTATGGCAACAATACATTTATTTCAAACGTTTTGCCTCGCGTTTTGCTCTTGCATGTAAGTTATAAATGGAGCAATTAATTTCAGACTTTCAATTTAATAAGCAATAATATCGAGTGGTTTATCATTATCATTAAAACCGTAGGAGCAATAAAATTATTTAAAGCAGTTTACTGTTGTAAATAAATTGCACCGTAAACCATTAATATCGAGATTAATATACAATGTATTACAGCAGTTCGAAACTTATAGTTGATTAGGCAAATAATATACATAATTATTACATATTATTATTTATTATTAATAAGAGAGGAATCCTCATTTGTAATTTATTTTGAGTCAAAATACATCGGCGGAGCAATAAATTCCACACTACAGCAGTAATGTGGAACATTTTGGACTTTGAATAGGAATAGGAACCCAAAAACCTAAGCAAAACCTTAGT